ATTACCAATAAATTAACTGGCTTTATTTGAATATACCAGAAAAATTTTTAAAAAACCCAAACCCTTTGCCACTGAGTCCATTCCGACTCATAGCGATCTTATAGGACAGAGTAGAGCTGCCCCATAGTGTTTCCAAGAAGTGGCTAGTAGATTCAAACTGCTGACCTTTTGGTTATCAGGTAAGCTCTTAACAACTGTGCCATTAGGCCACTTATTTGAATATATATAAGAATAAAAATACAGCAAAAAAACAAAAAAACACCCATGTGCAGGCAATTACCAGTTTCACCAAACAGTTAAAAATAAATAAAAGCCACGTTGATGCTACTCATTGCGGGTGACAATGTTGTAAAATAGGGTGGCACAAATGTTTTGTGCTTAGCTACTAACTGAAATGTTGGTGGTTCAAATCTACCCAGCGGTGTCACAGAAGAAAGGCCTGGCAATCTACTTTCCTAAGAGATTAGAGCTGTTGAAAGCCCTGTGGAGTGCAGCTATACTCTGAGAGACATGGGGCCACCGTGAGTTGCAATCAACTCCATGACAATGGGTTTGGTTTTATTTATTCACTGCTGTGGAAGGGCAAATTGGTACAAAGCCTGGAAAATAATTTGATAGTATAGATCAAGAGAAGTTTAAAAGTTTATACCCTTTGAGTTAGTAACTTTAGTTCTAAAAATCTATTTGAGAGAAGTTACCAGCAGTGTGATCACAGATCAAAGACGTGTTAAGGATGTTTATCAAAGTATTATTTATAGTAGCAAAAAATAAAAACAAGAAAGGAAGGAAGGAAATAACCTAAATATCCAACAATAGGGAAGTGTTTAAAAAAGTTGTGGCATGCATGTAATACTATGCAGCTACTGAAAACCATGTTTTTGAGTAATACTTAATGACTTGGAAAATGTTTATAATATACTGAGCAAGCTACATTGTATAGGCATCAGAATTCTATTTTTGTAAAATTTTGCATATACGTGTAAACTCATTGCCCTCGAGTTGATTCTGACTCGTATGACACTATAGGACAGAGTAGAACTGCCCCCCAGGGTTTCCAAGGCTGTAATCTTTATGGAAGTGAACTGTCCCATCTTTCTTCTGCTAAGAGGCTGGTGGGTTAGTAACCCAGCGCTTAACCACTGCACCACCGGGGCTCCTTGTATATACATATACATTTATCCACAAAAATACGTGTAAAACATCTGGAAGGAAATACAAGTGAAAAAGTTATTACTATTTGTTGGGCTTATAGGTGATTTTTATTTTCGTCCTTGTTCCTTAGTGTATTTACCAAATTTCTATGGTTATATTCTTTTTAAATAATAACACAGATTAAGGAAAAACAAGGTCTAGGCTTCTCATTCATCCACAGTTAATGGTGAAAAGACCCAAGCCAGACCTTTAAGGAGCTTCCAGTCTGTAAGAGAAAGAGTCAAGCAAACGGGAAGTTACGCTGTGAAATGCATGTATCTCTCCTCCGTTTGGAAATATTTGCAGAACTAGAGGAAAGAGGAACCAGCGTTTTGGTTGCTGATGATTGGGGCTCTGGATTGAATAGACTATCTATTGTGAAAGTGTATTGTGCAAAAAGAGAATAGGGCTTTTTGTGAAGGGAAATAAAAGGGCGTGGGGCGCCAACTGGGGAGGATGGGGGAGGAGGAAGCGGGGCTAGGGCAGATCCGGGAGAGACATCCTGGAAGCATCCGTCGGGTAAGCAGACTGAGGGTGGGCTGCCCTCCAAGGTGGGGCACTTCCGAGGTGTCCTCCCCAGCCTGCACCTGGTTGAGGTATCCAGGGCCCAGCCGAGTACTTGGCACCCTGTTCATAACAAGGACTTGGTAAATGGTTATTGTCCATACAAATAGATGAGTGAATGAGTGTGTAACATCAGGGATCACTCTCATGAATTACCTTTAAAGCAGTGATTAAGGAGTCTGAAAAACAAAGATTCCATTTTGAAGCTGTGATGATGAATAAGACAGGAGAGAATTTATAGTCTTCACCAAGGCCGCAAGGTGTGCATGTGGGACGGGGGGGTGGGGCTCATGTGCTTTAACCTCAGGAGGGACCTGAGTTCAAGGTTCAGTGCGGCATTGGAGTCTGACCAGCTCTTGGCTGTGCTAACTTGCCAACTGTGTGATCCCGGCTAGACTCAGTCTCTGAATGTTTCACTACTTATAAAATGGGCTTGTTATTGTTGTTGTTAGTTGTCTTCGAGTTGGCTCCACTCATGGCAACCATATGTACAACGTAAGGAAACCTTGCCCAGTCCTGCGCCATCTTCATAATGTTGTTATGTTTGAGTCCCTTGTTGTGGCCACTGTATACTGCCTTCCAACCTAGAGGGCTCATCTTCCAGCACTATATCGGACAGTGTTCTGTTGTGATCCATAAGATTTTTTTCCACATTGTGTCAACATTCTCTTTAATTGTGTTCTAGTTGTTCCATTTTCAGTACTCTAGTTTCCCTGACTCCTTATCTTCTCATCTTTGCTTTGGATTAAATGTTGACCTTTTGGAGTCATAAAACCAAACACACTGCTGTCTAGTC